GCAACAATGAGGCGTATTTACACTCTGACGCAGGTGTTCTGAGCACTGTTTGCATTAATGGGAAGGTGTTTGGCCCCTTTGATAAGGACAGTTAGTCGATCATTGCCATGTGGCACAGCGTTAACCTCTGTTAGCAGCAACACTGTCAGACATGTGTCCAAAAGAGACGTTCTTCTGACCCCTAGTGTTGTAATAAAGAACCAACAGCTGATGGTTTTATTCCTGTTTAACCTTTTATGTTTTTAAAGTGAGATTTTAGTTGCTTCTCTTTTCCTGTAAAGCTTTTTTAAGCGTTGAACGTCACATTATAATCTACTATAACGATTATAAGTCATATATTTACAACTGCAACCTACAGTACACATATTTTATTCATTAGTTGACATGTATTCTTATTGTTTTTATAAATAAATCCAGTGTATTTGTTAAAGCCCACTATCACATATATCGTGTCAGCGGATCCTCCGCCCAGATCATACTCTCTGAAAAACAATCAGACAATAAAAAGTCGCCTTTGGTGATATTTATATTTTATTTTAAATTAAAAGATTTAACTGTATCCGTATGGTCTGTAAGGGTCAACACTGATTAGATAAACACAAATAAATAAACAAAAACGCTGACATTATGTAGTGTTTTTTGTGCAACATCATCCTTTATCAAGGACTTGATTTTAGGATTTAAGGATGACCAACAGATGTTTTGTTGTCATAGACTCATGATCACAATAAATTAAATGATTCTGCGAACAGACAGACGTGTGTCTTTTTCTTGCAGAGATTTAAGGGAGCTGAGCCGCAGGAGCTCACCCTGGTAGCCGGAGCTGAACTTGACTCCAACCAGCAGTTCTCCTCCATCCTGCTCCACAGCGCCTCCCTCTGGTTCCTCAGTCTGAGTGACACAGGAAATACAAGGCTCAATCAATCAATCAATCAATCAATCAATCAAACTGTATTCATGTAGCACATTTCATACAGTTTAGTGCCGTTCAAAGGGTTTTACAGACATTGACCTGACAATAATAAGACAGAATGGAGTAAAAATTAAATAAGGTAGATTTAAAAATAAAATGCAACTATAAAAATGAACAATAAAATACACGTATAATGATAGTATTTAATAAAAAATATACTAGAAAACAGGAGAAGGAAATCTGTATGTATGTATTAAAATTGACATTATGAAATAATAATCAAATTAATAAATACAAACAACCTATAAAACATAATCATGAAATTATAGTATTATAAAATATGTTGTTTTTTAAACTCAGTTTGGTTAATAAAATGGTATTGTTATGAGTTTATTGAAGTTTGTAATTTATTCCAGCAGTTTTTATTTAAAGTAGTAGTAAATCATCTAATAGAACAACAGCCAAACATCAGGGACAAGAAAACACAGAATTTGTCAAAAAATAACCCTATTAAGTTTGTATGATTGTTAAAAATATTTTTTTAAACTACATAATACAGACAGGGAGTTGTATAAAGATCCCTAAACAGGAAAAAATCTAAATATTAAAATCCTCCAACCAGCACCTTCAAAACTTCTAACCCTTTAAATATAATTATATTATGTCTTGTTGGTTTAATTTGCAGAAAAAAGTGTAAAAACTACAGTTTGTGGTTACAAGGAGTAGCAGAACGTTTACAGCTTTACTTTATAACACCACAGCTGAATATCTGAACCTTCCTCTGCTCTGTTTTACCTTCGGACAAAGTGGGTACCAGTTGAAGCACTGGGAGGCCTTGTCCTCAAACCTCCAGCCGTCCAGCGGGATAAGGACCTCACCGAGAAACGTCTTCCTTTTCAGGGTCCTTGAATGCCACACAGAGGCCTGCAGTCTCTTTCCAAACAGCAGGTGGCGCTCTATGTGATACTGTCAAAAGCCAGACAAAGAACTTCATTTAATTTGTCCCCATCAAGCATCATATGACACTAAATTAATTGTTGAAAACGCTTTCTCTTTACCTTCAAAACTTCATTATAAACCGGATCAGTCGTGTTTTTCTTCACTGCCGTCTTCATTTTGCTGCTCTTTTCCGGCAGCACATAGAGTTTGACATATCTACACGAAGAAATAACACATACAGGATGCTGAGGTTTTGATGGAGAATCAGACAACAAAATGAGGTCATACTGTACAAAAAAAGAGTCTTATATTTATTATCCTTACGGATGACACTTCTTCCTCTTGAGGTCTCCATAGGTGAGATTTCTGCATGCGCCGACTGTGATCTCCAGACAGGAGGTGCTGCTGTTGTAGGCCAGAGCCAGCTCCAGCTCTCCCGCCACGCTGACACTCTCGAACATGCCGCAGTCGGTGCTGATGCTGCTGTTGCTGCCCTGTGGAGGTTAAATACAGGCTTTAGATTCTCAGTTTTTACCTAAGATGGCAGAAAGACACTATCTGAAGGACTTTTACATTAACTAGAGTACAGAACATGCACGAAAAAGAGATTTTGTACATGAGATAAGTGGCTGAAATTATTACAGTCACAAGCGATATTCATCACAGGATGTCACTTGGGGATTTTTTATCATCAACTTCTACTTACTCTCTTTCCTCCTGAGTACTCAGAACCGAAGGAAGTTTCCTCTTCTGCCCCGGTGGAGGAGCCTTCGTGGTCGCTGTCTTTGCTTTTCTTGAACAGGTTTGGAAGACTGGGGCCTTTAAAGAGCTGTAAAAAAGTACAGGGATCATTCTTTATTGTGCTTTAACAGACTGATAGTTATTCCTTCTTATCATCAGTGAAGGTGGCAAAGGTTCACACATGATTTACTCAAATAGAAGTACAGAACCTTAAACTTTACTTTAAAGTACTGATAGGGTCGAGTCCTCTCTTGTCTGTTACGTCTTTTACATTGTCATGTTTCTTAATACATAATACATCTGTTATGAGTAATATGCACCAGTCTTGATGTTGGGGATGTGTGCAATTATGCAGAAATAAAAAATAACTGATCATTCCTTTGAAATCCATTAAAACTAAAGTAATGAGCCTATAAATGTCCGGTATTGTTGTGTGTTTTTAATGTACTTACTGTTGAGTTTTAGTTTTTATGTATTTTAAAGGCCCATCTATGGACGGGAATTGTAAATGAGCTTATGCTATAGTAAATGTTGTGTTGTGTGGCATTTGTTTATGCCTCATACTTGTTCCTGTACAAATAAACAATAAAAAAAGAGATGGAAAGTGCAGATATTTGTGTAAAAATATAGGAAGTAACAGTAAAAAGGTTGTAAGAGAAATTAATACTCAGGTAAAATAGTTCACTATTTCCCACCTCTGATCACCAGCAAAGGTCTTTGAATATTAGATAAAAGGTCTCAGCCCATCTGGATTGTGAAAATCAGTTCAGTCTAAACAAATGTGCAACAGATTTATGTGGGCTGAGTTTGTTGCAGCTGTTAGGACTTAAAAAGACTTTCTGGCCAGCGCAGGTGGAAATATTGTTTTGGGGTTTTGTGTCCTAGGCTGGGGTCGCTGTGCACCTACAAATGAGCTCAATGACTCGTTGCACTGAATGTATGAAGTGTTGTAGCCGACTTACTTTGCTGGATTTGTTGATGTCAGTGTCAGACAGGCTCTTTTGGGTGCTGAAGCACGACCCTCTCCGGCTGTTGTCGACACTCAGCAGGTCTTCTCGCACATCATTCTGAGAAGTGGAAATCTCTGCGTTGAGAAAAGGGAAGTCAGACACTTAAAGCCTCAGCAAAAAGAACAAAGTGAATGCTTTTACAGAGAAACACACACACACACACACACACACACACACACACACACACACACACACACACACACACACACACACACAAAGATTCAGAACAAGAAGATTCATCCACTGCCTGGATACATTTCGTATGAATTTTAAAGGCCTCAAACAATTGTTTGGTACCAAGGTGTTTTCTTTTTCTTTTTGCAATGCAACACATTTTTGTTATCTGCTCATCATCATCCTGTGCAACTTCTGCTGATGCAGTTAGTACGATCAGGTAAGAGGGGAGTTCACAAGACAAAATATTTCAGTTCTATTTCCTTTGTGGTTATTACTGTGCACATATTTAGCTCATCAGATTGTCGTGATATCAATCACAGGAAGTGATGCATATAATTCTGACGCGATATCTTCTCGCCGAGATGCTCAATGTTTGATGCGCTGAATTTTGTGTTGGTAAGTTCATATCAGCCACTTAACTGATAAGAGAAGATGTTTAATGATACATAAACTTACTTTTAATATGGCTGGTGAAGGAGACCATTAGATCTTCCACGGATTTGGTGAAAGGTTTGGAGTTTTTGAAATCCTGCAGACCAAAACACAACATTAATTGGCATTCAGTTAATTTATCTCACACTTTTACTGTGAAATAATGCTGGAAATTTGCCAGTATTTTACCCCAGATCTGCTGAGAAACTGATAATCCAAGTGGGGTGGAGGAGTGGGAGGTACAATGGATATATGACTGTGAAAAATATAAGAAAAAAAAACATGTTACTTTGTGTTTTCATTTTAATGAATTAAAGTGGCTGCAAACATTAGAAATAAACATGTTAAGACTCCTCGTACCTCAGCACATTGTAGGTATTTAATAGCTTCTCTCCAACCGTCTCATATTTGTCTGCAAAGAACATAAATATTATGAATGACACACGACACCACAAGCGTGAAAGACAAATGTTTACACACTGTCACAGAGATGGAGTTCAGCATGTCGGTGCAATTTATATCTTCTGAGATTAGTTAATATTGACACTCAATATGACTTTGTTGTGACGGTTCAAACAGAGTGAAAGTCATTATACTTATGTGGCCAAATACGACACAATTAGTAATAATACTACTACTTTAAAAGTATATAAAGATTAAAAAAAAAACACAAGAAAGCATACAAATATCCTCATTGGTCCAATACACAAAAATAAAAAATAATTATAATTAAAATATTACAATTCTGCCTCTTTATCACACTGATAACACTGAATAATTCAATAACTTTTAAACTCCATATAAAGCACACGGCTTAAACAAACACAACATCCATATTTTATTCATCAATGTAGTTGAAATAGGATGATATCAAGGGAGTATCAATAATTAATATTAACGATAGATATAAAAACAAAATAATTGTGAGTACATGTAGTCCGAATATAGTAAACAAACCTGTGATGACGGAAAATTTCTGTGCCCTCTGCTCTAAAAACCACTCTCCAGACCTGATCTTCACCTCCCTGTGAGGAAGAAAAACACTGTATTGAGCAGAGGATGACATAATTACATTATTAGCACTCACACTGAACAAGAAGAGGTGGCAACTACACCTGACTACACTATTATTTCCTCCTCCTTCTTGCTGCCCCTTCTTATTTTAGCTTGTGTTCGATTTTTATCAGAGAAGTTCTACATATACTGTATATTAAGTTTCTGAAAATGTAATGATGATTTGTTTTGTTTTACAGCTAAGTGAAGTGAATTTGCTCTCGTGTGAGCTGAATTTGAAGGGACATTTAAAGGGGTGAAACAAGAGCTGATATAAAAGATGAAGTGTGCAAACAAAGTAAAGCCACAAAGTGAGTTTCAGAAAGTCAGAAAGTCATTGAAATCGCCTACACTGTTGCTGGCCCACAGACACATCTACACGACCACATTACTAGCACACTGTACTCATACTGAAAAAGAAGAGGAAGCAAGTACAACTATTAATATACTTACTGTACTTGACTACCCAAAACTGGTCCATGACTATGTGGGCTGTTACTGGGCCAGACAGGGTTTTGCTGTCTGGGTATTATTTTAAGGTAATGCTATCCTTCTTTCTGCCTCTTGTTACTTTAGATTAAATTTCATTTCTTGGACATATTAAGTCTTACTTTTGAGAGAAGTGACTAACATATTCTGTAAATTAAATAGTTTGAGATGAAACTTGTTATAAAGCTCCATAAAGCTGAGGGAAGTTTCACATTCAGGCAATAATTCTCTGACGGGTTCATTATAAAAATATCAAATATCACTGCTTTAAAGAAAGTTAAACATTAAAGTTTAAAGGTACAAAACAAGAGCTGAAAGTGAGTTTCAAAAGTCAAGCAGACACATTTACAGTCATTTTGTGCTGTGATTTGAGCACTGCTGAGTCAACTATTTCAGCTCTATTTGCATGAGACAGGTGGTTGAGCTCCTAACCACACCTGTAGGCGTGGCAGACCGTGCACTTCCAGTCCGCTGCTCCCACGCCCACGCGGCACCTGCTGCAGATGCGGTGGCTGCAGCCGCGGCAGACTGCACCCGAGTTCCAGAACTTTCCCAGCGGCCTCTGGCACCGGGCGCAGGTCCGCTCGCCATACTGCCGGGCGTAACTCTTGGCTCCTCTCCTCCGCAACTCCTGCAGCTCATATTTCATCCTCCTGAGGTGGGAGAAGATGGAGGGAATCACAAACACCTTTAACTGCCACTGTCAAATATTTTTCACAATGAAAATGTATCTTCTGTCAGTCTGAAAGACTAAAACTGATTGTGTTAAACATCCCTTTCTTTATAATGTGATATCCAGATTATAAAATACACTGAAAGACACCAAAATGAAGTAGCTTTTGGTTACAGAAAAAAACACAAGATCATATTTTCTGACAGTCTGAGTGCTCTCTGTTATCCTTGTTTGTTGCTGCTCTACTGAAGGAAGAATCAGCCTCCTTTCAGCATCAGTATTTCTCAGAAGTATCAATGAAAGTGGGGGAAAATGACTCACCTTATTCTGTCCTCCTCAATGGTACGCAACTGTTTGTCTCTCCGAAGAACCTCCAGGACTCTTTCTCTCTCCAGAGTTTGAAGCAAACTTAAATCCATCTTTAAACAGCAGTCTCTGATCATCTGTCACTCTCACTGGTCCTCTTCTCTCTGTCTCTCTGCCTCTCTGCCTCGCTGTCTTCTTTTTGTTCCTGTCTCCTCCTCCTCTCCTCTTTAACCCTCCCCTTTAATGGACCCAGACTCAGAGCTCCTCTTTAGTCCTCTAGAGCAGCTGAAGGAGTAAAGAACAAAAAGGGAGATAATAAAGGTTGTCTGCGTGCTGCTAAGATCCCCCTTCTCCTGATCCCGATCTCCACAGAGTCTCCATCCGCGTCAGAGCCAGATATAGCCCTCTTGAGCAGATATAGCCTGCTGTAGTGTTTCCACTTGGATGATTAAACTTCACGGCCCAACCCGACAATTGTGGAAATACCCTCTTTTAATATTAATTTCTCTGCAGGCAAGCCTGTTATCTGATGACGCAGATAGTTAGTCAGCAAGAGTAACCTCAGAGCTCCTCGTAGCAATACAGGATCTGACGACATGTGAAACTAGAACACACTACTGTGCATTTGGGCAATATTTTAACCTCCAAATGCTGATTTGCTTCCCCTCAACTTATGTAGTCATATTTCCCTCCTGTGTCAGTATCGTGAAGCTTTCTATTCAACCCCTCCCCAGGCAAACCACCACTGCTTCCTCAGCTGCAGAAAGAGCACTGATGCTTCACTGATAGCAGGGCTGCAAAACAAACCAAATGCCAACCCTTGCATTATTGATGGCTGACGTGCGTCTGTGTCCTAGTTTTGTTTTATTAATTTATTTTTTTTGCAGGTCAGTAGACTTATTTAAATCTTATTCAAACTAAATATCCATTTAAAAAAAGAAAGTCATCACCGGAAGCTTAACATTTGTAAATAAAGATTAAAGGTGCGTTGACTGACTGACTTAAAGGCTTTATTTCAGAAGGAGAGCTTCATATTTTGGGGAATAAGCTCATTGGCTTTCTTGCCAAGAGTTATATCCCAAGTGATGAAACCCTAATACCAGCACCTCTAAAGCTCACTTATAACCATGTTCTATCTTGTTTGATGAATGACGAGTTGTGGTCTTATGGGGGTTATCGGCTAACTATTTCTTGGCTGGGTGCGGTGACTTCTCATGAGATGACAAGACTCCAGGACTCACACAAACAAGATAAAACGCATTAATCAGTTAGCGACAGATGCAAACAACTTCATGCTAGCTAGAAACCGTTGCCAGGCCATTAATCCAACAGCCATTATTCCTGAGACCCCCAATAGTCTGAAAAATGTCCCAATGACCAAAAGCCTATTTGTCTGACAGCACACTATCCAAAAACAATCATTGCTCTGAAGGCCTGTTGTTCTGGAAATACTCTTGTATTACCATCCTATGTATGTAACTAAACAGTTGGAACCAAACTGCCACCATTTCACAATGTTAACCATGTGTTTGTTATTGTTACCATAATAATCACCTGACGAGGTCACCTAAATTCGTACTTTCCTGCAAAAAACTGTATATATGTGTATATGTTTGGACAAAAGGGCTTTCAGAGAAATTGGCTTTTGTTCCCAGGATAACAGGCTATCAGTGCAAAGGGACATTTTTCTGACTATTCGGGTTTCAGAATAATGGGCAGCCCCCCTGAAATCTGGCGTACCACTTTTGGCAAGAAAGCAAATAAATGTATTTCCCAAAATGTCAGACTATTCATTTTAGCTCTAATTTATCTCATTTCAAATAGTGCACATCTCAATTTGGAATAAAAACATCCTTGTCCATAGCAGGTGAAGCATGGGGAGTTGAGAGGAAGTGGCCTGTTGAATAGCTGGATGCCAGGCTGTGTTGGTAGATAAGGGCTTGTGTCCTTGTTACTATCCAGAGCTGCCAGGAGGCCGGAGGAAACAATCAGTGTCAGCTGTAATTAGGCTGCATGGCTCACAGAGGGACACAGCTGCTATCTGTCCACTGCTGACGTGCACCATGCCTAAAGGGATTCTCTCAAGTTGTAAATGCCAATGAGGCAAGATGTGAAATATGTTGCTACTGGAAGGCCGTGATGCAACAGACATTTCTTCATGCTAGCTCTCAGTTTGACAGTTTGATTGGGAGCGTTTACTTGTATAAGGGATGATTATCATCACGTCAACACAAGTACACTCATTTCACACTCGCCTCTACTATGCAAAAGACCATAATGATTCAGGCTGTCCGTGGTTTAGTGGTGACTGTGAGTTCACATCCGAGAAGAGAAGGTGGGAACCCATGTCAGCCCACCACAGCAATGACAGTAAAAGACACCTGACTGATTACACTGGCACCCAAATACAGAGTCTGAACGCTGTGAGAAAGAACAAAATGATCACATGGCCTCTGACATGTTTCCCTCTCAGAGCTGAGTTTCCTGGAAGACCGGTGTGAGCGACTACATACCTTGAGTCAGCCCTGGCAGCTTGTGTGCGCTTACAGCCAGACTGATCACCACAAGCAAATTCCAAATTAAAACCCATTAACTGTCACGCTTCATACACCACAAGCTCTGACAACACAAACTGTGGGTCTTTTATTTTAGAAAAGAATGACCTCTTCTTCCAAAACATGACAAGGTCACACGCAAACTCTGCTGAAAGAATCTCAAAATACTTTGCAGGAATTTATCTGCAATGTGCTGACATCTGTGTATTTTTAAAACCATGCACTGGGGTTTTCAACAGCTCATCTTCATGTAGCTTTCTATATGCACCTGCTTTTGCAAACATTCATACAAGTTTTACACATCAGATGAACCTAAAGTTAAGATATGAAACAAAAGACTTCTTGCACATGTATGTGCGAGTACGCCTCATTCAGCCCCCAGGAGAGATGTAAACAATAAAACTGCACAGAGAACAAGAAACGTACACCCTGCGTTCACAGTATATGCCTTAATAGTTGCAATGACTGTGGGTTTTCCCTCCGACAATGACTGAAATCTGAGATGTGATTACAAAACATTTACTCAACACACGTTTTTGTTGCTCAACTGAGAATATCACTTTGACTCTGCAGATGAATTAATGAGACAATTTATCTATCTACAGCAACGTCTAAAAGAAAGCAAACTTGGGTCTGTGACATGAGAACTAGGTCACTGCAGAGTTAAGAGGTGCAGAGCAGAAATCTGCAAGATCTTACCTTGAGGCTCATTGCACTGCTGGGGTGGTCAGCCTGAGGAAGTGGCAGATTTATACACGAGAGGGGAAACGTACAGAGCTCAGTTTGCTTCCTTTTTGCATTCACACGTTGCAATCTGGAGCCAACTGAGCAACTGCTGGTTGGTTATGTCACATTCAGCTTCCTTTTGTTTTGGGTGTAATACCTTATGCAGAGTGTTTCTGTGAAGCTCACTGGGTGTTATAGGTAAGGCGTAAAGAATACAAGTCACAAGGTCAGTGTGAGGAGTTTTTTTATGAAACTGTATTTGATCCTGGCTGCCATTTCTGACAATACCAAAAAAAAAAAAGCTGTAACACATATTGGAAATGTATAAATTTGTTGAACTCTTTTCTTTATATCCACAAATGGCCCACCAACCTCAACTTCCAGACAGCTGCTGTGAAGAGCAAAGATAAAATGACTAATACTACTACTAATAATTTCAGCTTCCCACACACCCACATTTACACAAACATTCATGGATGGATTACTGAATATTACAACCTGGCACAGACAGCCTCTCGTCATCTCCAGCATGAACAACAGCCGCACCGCAGAGTTCTGCTTAACCTGCTGAATGTCACTGAAAGAGATGCAAAAATACTATACAGAGACATTAAATGACCTTGAAGATAGCAAAACAACTTGAAAGAGGTGCAAAAAGACGAAGAGGCACAAGACCAGTACAGGAAGACAAAAGACAACCACAAAATGTGTAAAAAAAATCATAAAAACACAAAATAATAGATGCAAAGTGACTAAAAAAGAGACATAAGATGACTGGAGACGCAGAATGACCACAAAGAAGCATAAAAAACAACCTCCAAGAGGTGCAGAGATGCAAAACAACATCAAAAAGACACAAAACAGCTACAGAAAGACGCATTGTTTGTGGTCACTGTGCCTCTTTTAGTCTGGATATGTTGCTCCTGTTTAGGTCTGTGCCCAGGAGCAAATTTGTCTCATAATCCATCCATGCATACAGTACACACACACACACATTCACACACACACACACACACACACACACACACACACACACACACACACACACACACACAAATTTTATAATTATCTCCAAATGTCATTAACCAAACAAAGAATTTACAAAATACTAAAAACAACACTGGTGTTTTGTGAAGAAAATACTAAAATAACAACCATGAACATAGAGGTGACAACATTTGGCAGGTAAAACTTTTCTTTTTGTAGAGCAGAAACGTATTTCTTTAAGTCTCGCATCGGGTGTTTTTCCAGCCGCTGCAGCCAGCTCTCCAGATGTGTGGCGGCAGACAAACTGTTTCCAGATTGTCATGTTGTTTCTTAAAAGTGCCCCCGCCAATAAAAACAACTGCAGTATAAATAGATTCTCCTCCTCCATCAATAAATGTTTCCTTTCCCTTTTTTTATTTTCTTCCTGCCAAACTTTCCCATCTGAGGAAATACTTTGGAGCCACTCAGCAGATGTGATGCCGTCTTTGGTGCAGAGCTTCAGAGACTCGTTTATAAAAATGCCATCAGATTTTTCTCTATAAAATCATTTATAAAAACATGATCAAAAACAAATATATATATATACGGCATTGAATTATTACAAAGCATTTTTGGGGGGTATCAGACATATCACAAACAACCTGGATGGAACTGGGATCAATTTGGTTCGAACACTTTATAAGTGAGGCACGTTTTAAACCCACTGCTAGTCGGTTTAACTGTGTCCACATGGACAGAGGGCCTGTTGTTCAGACCAATATGGCTTCCTTTGGACATTAAAGCTTCATTCAATAATGTCTCTGATTTTAAGCAGTCTGTATAAGCGTCTTAAGCTGTAGCGTCTCTTCCACCGATATCCTGTCGTGGTAGAAGCTCAGTCCGCTCAGGAGCTCCACGTCTCGGACTCGGGCCACGTGAAATTGCAGCCAGTCCTCGACCCACGTCAAGTCCGACCCACTCTGAAGAAAAAAACAAAAAGGAGGGAAAAATAAATGAAAATGTATCAGTGAGTGATCTATTCAGCTTCGATCATTCTTTCCACAGTGTGATCAGTCAGCAGGTTTCCACAGAAGTAGGCTGATGACAGAAACAGGTAGGTGGTGTTACTCACAGCGCAGCTCTCTGTGTGGTCAGGTCTGTGGGGAAGGATGAAGGACTTGGCCTGGAGGGGACCCTTACAGTTAACAGGGCTGAAGGTCTCATTCCTACAGCTGGTCAGGATCATGAAGAAATGCGTCGGGACGATAGTCTCATTCCTGGAGAAACACAAGATCAAAGGGTTTAAGAGACCGCTGCCTCCTATCGTGAACGTTGTGGTTTTAACTTGGCAGAGAGAAGGACCCTGGACAAACTGCTGTCCATACTGGACAACACCCACCACCCTCTGCACAACACCTTCACCAAGCAGAGGAGTGTGTTCAGTGGCAGACTGCTGTCCCAGTCCAGCTCCACCAACAGACTCAAAAACTCTTTCGTCCCCCTGGCCATCAGACTGTACA